ACCACTCTAATTCACCTGGCGACCTTTCATCAGAATTTCTCGAAATTACTTGACTAATTATTATATCGTTAAAATCTTGAGTATATATTTTATTTCATAATAATAATCATAATAATAAATTGTTGATCAAACAAAGAAACCCATAAACATAATTTGCTTTCTTATTGACATTGGAGATTTTAATGTAGCTTTGGAAATCTTCAAAAAACTATCAAAATACAAGGATCATGAAGTGAAAATTACAAGAATGTGGCACATGAAGACATCAATAATTCTTGGTGTGTTTGTGGTCTGGTTTTAATTGGAAAAAGGTTTTTATAGACCTATTGAAAGAATTCTTGGGAAACCAGATTTTAAGGAAATATTTTTAAAAATTCTAACAAAAGACTATGTAATATGTATATGCATTTGTAGAGTTTTTTTATTTTTTATTTTTACACAATTTCTGACCTTAGGTCTCTGGTTGGAACCCGCGAGGAAATGAGTTTACAACAGAAATCAAATGAAAAGATATCGACAATAATAATAATAATAATAATAACCTTCGTAGAAACGTTAACTAGCTTTGAAGATGTTTTTTTTTTAATATCACTCGTTCAATGCCTTCTAAGGTCAAGCCTAAAATTGTTTAGGATTCTTATTTCTGACATCTCACAAGTAATGTATGGGAATTCTTTTCCCCATAATTGGCTAAGTTAATTTCTTAATTAATCTAATCCTGGGTATGACGATAAACAACATCCGGAAGCAAGGCCTCTGATCGGCAGACTGGAGGGTTGAGGAGTGTGGAAACATCTCTTAATTGCTGTTGTTCCCAGGTTCACCATATCCCGGCGTGGTAGCACCTGTTAGGGTCTCAGCTATGGGAAAATAGTCAACCTCCAAACAAAAAAACTATGAAATTTTTATAGTAAAAATACCAGCAATAAATTATCATATAAAAGAAAATTACCAACAATACTTATTGATAGTAAGATTATGAACAATACATTTTATCTGTAGCTGAAGGCATAGAAATGCATTCAAAGTATATAGATTTCTACATTAAATGACACAGAGGTCGATATGCAGCTGAACAAAATCAACCAAACACCCAACACGAAGGAACTTTCATGACATTAATTCATATCCTGCAATTTCTTAAAGGAATCAAAGAGTATTCCAAAATATGACTACAACATAAAACACACATATAGTAATTGTGCAAACATATATATGCACAAAAGCTGAGTATCAACTACCATGTATTCAATTGTGAAAGCAGAATAACATATATCATATTTTATTACTTCAAGACCCCAAGAAAATTCAATTTCGACATTCGTCTGTGCATTGAATATTGTTGCCATATCTGGTTTGGTGCTCCTTCTATTGACCTCGATGTTCTTGACAAAATCCAAAGAAGGATCAGCAATGTAATCTATCCTGACTTGGCATCTCGACAAGTAACTTTCTCATCGACGGAATATGGGTTTCCTCTGTCTTTTCTACAAATATTTTTTGTTCGTCAAAACAGTTGCCATGTCTACACTGATGATCCGACTACATGAATTTAAGCGTGCTACTAGTTTGCCATCTAGATCCTACCCTTTTACTGTTGAAATAACTAAATGTAACGACCACTTCTACTCCAACAGTTTCTTTTCTCACACTTCCCAACAGTGGAATTCCCTTCCGCTTCCTTGCTTCTTGGATTATTACGGTCTTCAAAAATTCAAATGCAACGTCAATCGCCATCTTCTATCTTCTTGAACCCTGTTCAGCATTTATCCTTTCCTCAGTACCCCCTGTATCTAGTATTTTTTCTCAACTTCACTCTCTGTAACCCCCTGAATACTAGTGGCATTCTTGCCTTGCTTGGGATGAAATGATAAAATAAAATGACCCATAAGGAGTTGACATACCGTGAAACAAACAAACCAACCAACGTAATTAATCTAAAGTTTCAGTTACAATCACCCGCTTTTAAAATTTATTATTGGCTTGTAAACTCAGTCACATGCTTGTAAAATCTATGTTTGCATAACGTAGTTGCACATTGTCTTTGCGTCACTAAAGAAAACAACTTTGTCCATCTCCGAGACAAAGAAGAGTCTTCGTAACATATTTATTGAATGGCGTTTAGCTCAATAATCGAATAAAAGAAGGATGTGTCATTACTTAGGGATAATTAGAAACAAATGCTGTTTTTTATGTTAAAGGAAATAAATACAGAAGGGGCGGAGCGAAAGGGAGAGGGAAGAAAGAGGGAAGGAAGCAGGAAATAGAGAGGAAAGAGAGACAGAGAGTGAGAGTGAGATGAGTGCAGCTGGTCGCCAATCAGGTGGCTTTTCACATTTCAATCTCATTTAGGTGAAGGTGAAATGCTTATTAGCGACATTAACCTACGTCGATCTTCTCCCACCCCACCCGCCTTTTTTTTGTCTCATGATGAGGCTTACAGTTTATAGATTAGTTTTTTTTTTTGGTTTCATCTTGGTTTTACCATATTTGTTTACAGCACGACAAATACTTTCTTTCTTTCTTTCTTTCTTTCTTTCTTTCTTTCTTTCTTTATTGCTTTCTTTCCATTTACTTTTCTATTTTCTTTCCATTTTTCTTTTCATTCTTGTTTCTTTCTTTCTTCTTCATTCCTTTATTTTTCCTTTCTTTCATTTCTTCCTTTTTCTTTTTTCCATTCACGTTTTCCTTTGTTTGTTTGTTTGTTTCTTTCATTTCTTTTTTTTTTCTCTTTCTATTTTTTCTTTTCCATTTTTTACTTTTTTTATTTTCTTTCCTTTCCTTCTCTTTTTTTCTTTTCATTTTCTCCACTCAGTTTCTTTCTTTCTTTCTTTCTTTCTTTCTTTCTTTCTTTCTTTCTTTCTTTCTTCTCCAGTTAAACATTTTATTTTCCTTCCTTCATATCAGGGGTTCTCATTCTTTTCTTTTCTTTGGAATTTCTTCAACTGTGAATTTCAATATTACTTTTTCTTCTTTTATATTTAGTCAATTGTAAATAGTCCATGTAAATGTATGTATATTATTATGGAATAAAAATGAATATTTTCAATTATATATGCATATTATTTGGAAAGTATCTTTTGAGTTGGACAGTTATGGAAAAGAGGGTATAACATTATGACATGCTGATGATAAGGGTGCTTTTTTCTTTAAAAATTTTGTGAACTTTTCTTTCTTTTTCTTTCTACTATCTTTTTCTTTTTTTCTTTTTTTTCCCATTTAGTTAGTTCATTTTTAAGTTTTTTTTCTTGAAATATTTCTTTTCTTTCTTTTTTTTTCTGTTCAAATTTCAATTATTTATATTTTTCTTTTCATTTTCTTAAAGTTTTATTACAAGAATAGAACAATAAGTCTGTAGCGAGACGTTGTGATGAAATATTCTTTGCTCAATTGACTTTCCAAAATCTGACCTCATAACAAAACATCAGAATATTTTTCTTTGTATAATATTCTTTAATATATTATTTTCAATGTATAATATTAATATATATATAATATTAATAATATTATAAAAAATAAATATGTTCATAAAAAATAAATATTGTTTTTCTCATTATTATACTTTTTTTTACGAATCTTCATTTGGGTGCTGAAATTTTTCTTTGGATTTGGACCAAGGAGTTTCTTTCTTTTCTTTCTTTTTCTTTCTTCTTTCTTTCTTTCTTTTTTCTTTGACTTTTTCTTTTTCATTCTTTTTTCTTTTCATTTTATATATATATATATTTATATATATTTTATATATATATATATATTTATATAGTTTTTTTCCTATTTCTTTCTTTCATTCTTTTCTTTCTTTTTATTGTTCTTGGAGAATTTCTTTTTTCTATTTTTGTGCTTTCTTTTTTGTTTTCATTAGCCCAGCCTTTTCTTTCGAGCGACAAAGCCACTTTCTTTCGTTTTTCTTTAATTTAGGATTTTGATGGCATCTCTATTTTTTCTTTTCATTTTGACGAAACTGATCTTTTTCTTTCTTTCTTTCTTTCTTTCTTCAAAACCTTTTTTTCTTTCTTGAAACATTTCTTTTTTTATTTTTTTCGGTATTTTTAATTTTCATTTTCCCAGGTTTTCTTTTCAAATTTGACACGTTTCAAGTTGTCTTTCAATTTCTTTTCTTTCTTAGCGTTTTTTTTTGGATATCCAGCTGAACGCTTGGAGTTTTGATAGTTGTCCATATAGCACCTCTTTGGAAGCCTATATTTCCATTCTCAGAACATGACGAGCCTGCCTAAGTTGTATCTTTGCTAGAATGATTTCAATGCCTGTGATGTTACATGGAATTTCAACATTGCACTATTCTTGACCCTGTCTTCTCATTTTATACCACATATGGCACGAAGACAGTATATTATTATGGGTAAATTATTATAATATATATATATATTATTATATATATGGAAAATATATATATATATATATATATATATAAAAAATGAAAAACAGACTATCTTTTTTAAGTTTTTTCCCATTTATTAGTTCAATAATTTATTTCCTGAAAATTTCCAGAAAGATTTTAAAGGACTCAATTATTCATCAAATTTTTAAGTTTTGATAAGAATTCATCAGTTTTTAGACATGAAAAATTTCTTTGCTCATTGACTTTCCAATCTATCTTTTCAGAATATTTTCAAAAAAACAAAATTACAGCCTCTTTCGATTCACTTCCCTCTCCCCTCTCTCTTTGCTGTAACACTCATTTGGATATATCTGTATTACTGTCGTCTGTCTTCTCTCTCTTTTCCATTTTTCCTTTTCTTTTCTCCCCACTCCCCTTCCATACCTATATATCATTTCCGTTAAGTTAACCATCTAAATAGGTCAAGGTTCGGTCACTCCTCCTACCCCAATATAAAGCATGCTTAAGAGAGATATGAAATTAACCCCTCCCTATGCTCTACCTTGTCTCTTTAACTATAACTCTCAACCCCCCGCCCTGTTAAATTACAAAAATTACACTAGCCATCAATTTCTAATCCCATTCTTTCCTTTCATTTCGTTGTTGGAATTGTTACCTGATGATCCGGAGTCCTTTAAAAGGATTTTGGTGAAATAAATTATTGTAATAGTACCTTAAAGTGGTCTATTTTTTTTCATTAAATATTAGCTCTGTATTCACATTGAGCTCTCAGGATTTCATCCTCCTTGGAATTATCCATTCGGTTTACCAAGTTCTTTGTAACTTATATATATATATATATATATATATATATATATATATATATATATATATATATATTATATTTTATTATTTTATACTTATCGGACGGTGTGATAAAAAAACATATAATGCAATTTATAAAACAAATACTAGACAATCTGATATCATGGAGAAAAATTTCAAGAAAAAAGAAAACATTCGTGCCACTTGAAAATAATCAACCAGCACCGCAATGTCTAGCCAAAAGAAAAGAGTTATCCTGATGATCCGTTAGGTGAAACCTAGGTAGATAGGTTCTGGCTCGTTAGGTTACACACACACACACACACACACACACACATATATATATATACATCGGTGTAGAAATATCAGGACAGACTAGGTCCTATAGCATTGGGTGGCGAACGGTCTAGGAGAAAGACAATTCTGAATTCAAAATAAAATCTGTGGAGGGTCGTTTAGGGGACGTTCTGGTATACTATTCACCATTTCTCGCTTCTTGTAAAAAGTTTTGTTGGTTCTGTACAAACCTTTTTCACTATAATAAAAAATTATCTGTTCGGGTAGTCTGGCTGTTGGTTCTAAAGAGCTGAGTTGCTTCACTGTCATACGTCAAGTAATTATATGACTTGAAGATTGCGTTGTGTAGCTGAACTGCGATCTGAAATTTTCATTGTATAATTTTGATCGATGTGTTTAATTGAGAAACAGAGGGGAAATCATGTTGAAAAATAAATATTTATCGCATTGTTTTTAGCTTTTGGTTGAGAGGCATCTAACAGTTTTTCAGGCGTTTGAATATAATTGCTGCTGTTAACACATTTCAGCCCTTGTCGTTGTTTCTTGAGTTTTCACTTGTTCGTAGATATGAAACCTGATGAAGTCTGAAGAATGAACCGGACAAAATAGCATGCTAACAACAGTAACAATACAAAGAAGACATCTGAGCGTACATATTTGTTTTCTAAATGAAGTGCTTTTTTCATCATTTGGCTACGGGCTTATTGATATATCTATGTACAAGTTCTCTCTCTATTCGAATTTCTTTCTTCCTTTCACCTTCTTTTTTTCATTTGTTTTTCAGATTTCATCCTCGCTTGCTTTATTAGTCAATTTCCCCTTTTCTCTTTTCCATTCCTTCTTTTCTTTGGTCGATTTCCAACTTGAGTCAATTCATTTCACTTTCACTCATCTCTTTTTCATATCTTTCTTTTCAACCCAATTTCTTACTTGTTTATGACGTATACATTCCAAACTTTATTTCTTACAACTTTTAATATTCCACTTTTCTTTCTTTCTTTCTTTTTTTTTTTTTTTTTTTTTTGTAGATTTTTTAACATCTGTCCATATATATTTTCTAAACTCCCCAGCCAGTCCCAACAACTGCAGTACGTCACACAGACAATCCTTCACGGAGCTACAATCCATCGTACGTACCCAAGACGTGATTACGTAATTCAAGAAATCGTTAGAACTCCCAAATGCTTCTTAACAAAAGAAAAGTTAAATATTTCTCCATGAAAACCGGAAGAGGATTCGAGAATCAGAGTATTGAAAAGGGTTAGCGTTGAATTTGCGTCTGATGAAAGAAGGAGAAAAAAAACTTCTCTATTATGAGTAAGATGTTTTCAGATTCTTGTTTGCATTTAATAAAGGTAGTTTTTAGCGACGATTTTACATTTGTTATTAAACTATATTATTATGTACAATTTTTAAAATAAGTTTATTACGTTTAAAAATAGTATTAACAGTATTTAACAGCATATAACTTGCATTCCAGTTTTGTGATTTTTTTTAATAGAGGCAACCCTAACTGTTCTAAGTTATTGTAATTTTAGTATATCGTTACTGTCTAATAAGCGGACCTGCCAACTTTTGTTATGCCAAATTGAAGAAGATGGATGTAACAGCTCTTTGAGCACAATCTGCTAAACATTGCTTGACACAGCTGACTGGTTTGCAGAATGCAGTCGAGACATAAAAACAATTTGGAAGCTCGCTATGCAATAAAGCTTTGTGTTGACAGAGATGTGTTTCAAAACTGTTCCTTGCCTTCCCTACAGTCCAGACCCGTCTTCCAGTGACTTGTGGTTGTTCCCAGGCTGAAGGAGAACCTAAGGGTCAATCGTTGTGAAGACAATGAGCAAATGAAGTTAGGCTGTGACAAGGGTTCTTTCTCTTTGGATAACTTTCCATGGGACCTTCCCGAAGTGCTCGCAGCGCTACAAAAAATGTTTTGAAGTCAGAAGATCCTACTCTGAGGGAGATCAGAGTTTTGTACTTCTTTGAATTTGATAAACATCTCTCCTGAAAGAGTCTTGGAACTTCTGGAATGCACATCGTAAATGCAAGAAAATTGCAAAAACCATCCCCTTGGGCCTTATATGCAAAGTTGAGGCCCCACCATGCTAATTTTTCCCCCAACACTAACTTTTCTTTTATATGTCGTGTACCTTCAGTACGTGGGTGATCATGGCTCTCCACACCTTCATATCCATTGTGACACTTAGTAGCGTTTATCTCTTTTCCAAGACCATCAATAACCCACCTCACCCCCACATCCTCACCTCCGTTCCACCATCTATTCACACATGCGAGTCAGGTAGGTAACCCTAGCCTTTCTCTATCTCTCTTGGCCTCGATATTCCCTGTGGGGCTATCGTAAACATTTTTCAAACTTTAGACAATCATTTCAACCTATCCCGACTCCATGATCTAATTTACTCAAACTACGACGGCTGCGTCATTATTATTATTATTATTATTATTATTATTGAGGGTTGCACTCCAAAAAATTGTACTCTGTCGTACAGTATACAAGGTCTAATATAGCCATAATGATACCAAGTCAATGATATACTTGGCACATGCTTTTACAGCCAAATATACAAGATATGGTGACAGGTTTCGATAAAAAAAACTATGCATAGCCTTGCCGGAGGGGCCTAGTTTGAAATACCTTCAGGTCGAGTACACCATCCTACTCAGATCGTCCCCGGTTGAAGTTATTTGCAAGTCTCGAGGTATAACTCCCAAGTTACCTTGCCTTCTTTATAGATCACCGCAAATTGGAAATCTTTTCGATTTTTTTTAATTTACCCATTCGACTTTTACTCTTCTTCATTCTTTAAGCTTGCATTTTAAAATTCCTTCATACTCTTTCTATCTGCGTCTCAGTTTTCTCGGAATTAATAGTGGAATGGTTTCCCGCTCCCTTCTCCACGGTGATTTATTGAGACACCACCTCCAGTTAGCTAGCCGTTGACTCAAGACTTCTTCCACCTTTTGATAGGTCTTCTTTTTCATCCTACAGGAGTGCTAACAACCCACTTTACTTGCAAGAAATTGGATTGGGGTAGCCGTTTTAGTCGCCGACACCACGACAGTAGCATACATGCTTACCTATATATATATATATATATATATATATATATATATATATATATATATATATATATATATATATATATATATATATATATATAGTCTGACGTGCTATACCATTTATCTACAGAGGTTAAATTTCATGGGAAATGTGTAGTTTAAAAGAATAATTTGACCTTGCTAACTAGACGTTTTCTCTGTAGCTAAATGATATCGCACGTCAGGCGATATAACGCTTCCGTGTAGGATACAGGTTCGATTCTTGTTGGAGGACAAATATTTTCTTTGAGATTTCTCGAACATTTAGGCCAGTAAATGTTGTTAATACTGTTTATTATATAAACAGAGTATTTACCTAAATATTTGCATCTATAAAATTATCGTATGAACAATAAATATATTAAAATAATTGCCGGATGTAGTTCATTTCATAATATATGACGTCATTTGTTTACGTTAAGATACGCTTCGTGCAGATAGGAAAGTTGGTTCTCTGTTGAATCAGTAGCTTCATCTATCGCAAGGAAAGTTGGTTCTCTTTGTCGTGCCAGAAGGTTTTTCCCTCTTGAATCCATCCTTCAAATCTACAACTCAACCGTTTGTCCTTGCATGGAGTATTGCTGCCATATATGGTCTGTTGCCCCCGCTGTTCATCTCGAGGTCCTCAACAAAATCCAGACGGATATGCAATGTGATAGGTCCTAATTTTGCATCTCGTCTATAGTCATTTTCTCACAGACGTGCTATGGCTTCCCTCTGTCTTTTCTACAAGTATTTTTATGGCAACTGCTCTGACAAGCCGCTTTCACTGGTTCCCAAACTGCATGAATTTAAGCGAGCTATTAGGTTGGCACCTTGGTCCCACCCTTTCACTTTCGAAACGATTAAATGCAGCCGTCTCTTCTCCTCTTACAGCTTTAGTGGAACTACCTTCCTCTTACTATCTTCCCTGATAGTTACAATCTTCAAATATTCAAATGTAATATCAATCGACATGTTCTGATACCTTGATCCTGATCTCCTTCCTTCTCTGTGTTCTTTACTCAAAAACACTCTTTACTCCTGCGCTCACTTTCTGTAACCCCTTGCGAGCTAGTGGCACTCAGGCCTTACTTGGGGTGATATGCTTAAAAAATGATATGAACGTTCGAGAGAAATCATGGGAAATTTGTAATTTAAAAGCAGTAATTCGACCATGCTAACCAGACTCTCTCCCCCCTCTCTCTCCCTCTCTCTCTCTCTCTCTCTCTACACACACACATACACACATATATATATATAACAAAAGATGAAGGGGATTCAAGAAGACAGAAGATGGTGATTGACGTTGCATTTAAATTTTTGAAGATTCTAGTTATCAGGGAAGCAAGAAAACGGCAGGGATTTCCACAGGTGAGAAGTTTGAGAAACGAAACTGATGGAATAGAAGTGATGGTGACATTTCGCTATTTCAACATCTATGGCTAGATAATGAATAGCATCTAAGGCTCTCTTATGGGTAAATTTTGCGAGTTCTTCTGATTTCGTTATTTTCGTGATTAAAACGATTCTGTGGAGAAGGTCAAGGGTTATTCAAATCAATAAGATCCTTCCTTTCTGGAGAATCAATAGGGCAACGAATTCCGTGGCAATTCGTCAATATCCGGATAGCTGTTTCACTAGAGATGGGCAAACAAATCGCGATGAAAAGCATGATTTTTTTAATAAAGATTAGCGAAGAAATCATCTTGTGTTCCTTGTTTACTGGCAGAACGGAGTAATTTCGATAGAAATTTCTGAGGACATTTTCTCGTTAGATTATGGCTTTATGGAATTTTATTATTGAATCGATTAGCATTTTGATATGACAAAAAATCGAAAACGTGTAGAAATAGCGAAAAATGCCTTCCAAATTGTAAAATTTATATGACCCTCACCCTAATTTGGTTCCCACTGATGTACAACTTGTTTACTTTTGCATCAATGGTGGCTGAACCGCACTGTTCCTGTGTCTTTGTTAGGTTCCCATAAAGTTCTCCATCGAGCATATCGCATTTAGTGCGGCACTCAGTAATCAAGTCTTCGTACGATCGTTTTTTGGTTTTTTTTTTTTTTTTTTTACCAGTGATTTTGTTAATGTCCAACTGCTTGACTCGCATTAAAGGACTGTGACAACTGTTGATCGAAAGTAGCGTTTATCAACCGCTTCACTCGGGAGTATTAATGCGCCCTGAAAGGTAGTTAGGTACGCCCCAACTTAACAGAAGAGGAATTCATAAATTATTTTTCTGTTTAAAAAAAAAAACCTTATTTTTAAAAATCTAGAGACACAAAGAATATGACCTCCATGTCAAGTCTTTGCAATTTGATATTTTAAACTGGATGCTAAATTGCTTAATCTTTAAGAAGGACTAGATAATCTTTAACATTTTGACTTCATCAAGGGATTTAAATCAATCATTACCTGTCTTACTAAAAAAAAGGAGATTCTTCGTAAATCCTTTGAAATGAGAGGTCATCAAACGTGATTCTTTTCGTGATTAAAAGGATGGTGTGGAAAAAGTTCAAGGGTTATCCAAATCAGATTTTAAAATTTCGTTAGAATCAACGAAAACAGTGATGAACTGCTATGTAATATATATCTTCCAATATGACAGTGAATGCTAGACAATCTTCTCACGGATGAAGAGGAGGACTGAAGCCACAAAGATATTGCTCTACAGAGGTATACTGAGAATAACATGGTCAGAACACGTGAGCAAAGGGGAAGTTTTAAGTAAAGTGAGAACGAAAAGCACACTTTTACTTTTTACAGAAAGAGTTAAAATCTCTGACGTATAAAACGAGGAAAGAGATCTTGGAGAATTCAACACTCAC